ATGCGTCCTTGATGAATAAAAGTATTAATTTCTTTTTTTTTAAGTAGTGTATCACAGTTTCCACAGAAATATTGCGCAGCACGACTGTTTTCAACATTGATAATAATCAGAAATGTTTCTCGAGCAGCAGATCAGCATATTATACTGATTTCTGAAGATCATGTGACACTGAAGACTGGAGGAATGATGCTGAAAATACAGCTGCGCATCACAGAAATACATTACAGTTTAACTGATACTCACAGATATTTTAAACTGTAATAATATTTCACAAATGTTACAATATTTTTGATCAAATAAATGCAGCCTTGATGAGCAGAAGATACTTCTTTCTAAAACATGAAAAATACACCACAGGTATCCATATCTTCATTACATACAAATATATTGTGTATGTAATGGTTACTTATAATTCATATCATGCGGTTTGACTGGAATGCTCATTATTTCTATAATTTTGTTTGGACTCAAAATGACCAGATTCACCTTTAAATGCAAACCAGCAATATAGTTTATATTGATGCAGTGAAGCGTCAGAAACGGAAAGCTCCCGTGTAAATGTAAATATTTGAGGATGGTGGATCTGCTGAGGCTGCAGAACAGACAGAAACTTTCAGTGTGATTTAATGGGGATGAAGGGATGAACCGATGAACTTATTAAACTCCCACACTGCATGCCTGAAAGTCTCAACTCTTATGAGATTTACCTTGAATCATTCGAATTCTGTGTTTTGAAGGCCTGATCATTTTCTCTCTGCAGTATGACAAGCACCTGTATATTTCAGAAATAAGAGCAAGGCTTTATATGGTTGGTTTCCGGCAGAAGCTCGTCTTTGTTGAATCTTCTCACGGAGATCCCGGCCGACTCGGTTCATATTCACGACGACACCTCAGTTTGAAATGACTGTCAGATTAATCACAAAGCACTGAAAGTGAGGATTTAGAGTCTGTCTGTCCTCTCAGGCTCCGGCTTTCACACAGCAATTCTCAAACACTCGAGTCATCCATGTGTTTAATTATCCTAAAATGTTTTGTGTTTGTGAAATTTAACATGTCTGTTTGAAAGAAGTCCCTTCTGCCCATCAAGGCCGTGTTTATTTGATAATATCATGAATTTAGATCTAAAGCCACAGTGCCAGTATTTATTATTTGGCCCATGGATAAAATAGTCTGAAATATTGTGTTCAGAATATTCACTTCATTTATTGCCCTCGTAAGCATTTGTCATCTGTTTAATCTTCGAAACTAAGGTCAGTTATTGATTTTTATAGAATAAGATACTTAATACCCGAGTTATGAATTGCAGTCAATGTTTCAATGCTTTGTTTGTAAGGTGACTGAATTTGAACAGCGCCTATAAATAAATAGGATAGTTTTTTTCCTGAGGTTAAATTTATGGCACTAATGAGTTGGGCGGCCCGAATCACGCAGGATGACAAAAACAGACCCTCCTTCTACGTGTCCTGACTTTCCCAAGATCCCATGACTGGGATGCTCAATCCTCATCAGATCCTCCCCTCGGTTCTAGAGGAACACAACGGTTAATCTCCGTCTCGACTGGGATGTGATGGTGAAATAAAGTGAATGGCAGCATGTGGTATCACCTTGTCACTCCGCTTGACATTGCAGAACACGCAGCGTCTTAGCACGCCAGCTAAATTGACACTGGCGTTGTCGAGACAAAATGCTGAGGAGGGGCTCCCAGAGGACTTGCTCTGGCATTTGTTTGACAAACGAGTGACTGTGACATAGTGCCACACAGCATCTTCACACACACGGCTGTAGAAAGATGCGACTTCAACTGAAAATGTCAGACGTGTTGAGTTGAGGATCGCATTAAAAAACAAAACAAAACAAAAAACACTGGAACCAAATGGTTTCCAAGACATTTGGTTAATAAGTTTCTCACAAATCTAATCTGTGCTTGTGAAAGTTGTTGCGTTTGATTGCTTGTGCAAAGACTAGAAGACTAAAGCAAAAACCATGTAAAGAGTAAACAGCGAGTTTAATTCACAGCATGATTCATTGTTTTCAAGGTCGGGTCGCTGCAGTTTCAGGTTCAGCATCCACATTTATTTCAGACCTGCGTTCCAGATTTCTGCAGACTAACAAGCTTTGACTTGCAGAGTTTTGATGCTTTGCCTGACGGTATGACTTGTGTGGGTGGTTTATAGTTGCACGCTGTCGGGTCGTATAAAGAGATGCACAAAATAGCAAGACACTACAGGAGAACAGGGTACTAATTTTAACTAATAGATATCAACTAATTTAACTAATAGATATCACCACACCCAGTTGATTAATCACAATACATTAAGACACTTGTTTTGTATTACACGTTTTTTGAAATGTTATGTTTAAATACGCAAATGAGGCACTGTCTAATGAAATATCCACTAATTTGCATTAAATTTACAGAACAGATAAACATTGGTTCAGAATTCTTGTTTGGTTTTGTTACCATGTTAGTGTTAAAGGTTTTTATGGAGGGACTTTTGGATTTGTCTTTTTATCACTCAGGAAGTAGTCAACATACAGAAAAAAATACATTTGAACCATGTTTTTAGAAGTAAAATGTTAAATACATATCAGACAAATGATATATGAACAAACCCCTCAGTAAAAATCTTCAGAATATAGGTAGGAATAAAACTCTAAGTTTTGATGTATGTAAGTGCCGCTGAAGCGGAGAAAAAACTTTTAAAGATATGTATTGGAATTGAAATCTATAGGCGCAAATAGATAAAGTATAATAAAACAAATGCTTAAATATGTATTTTGGATGTTGTATTTCCACTAGTCTGAACATTGGTTCAAAGTTCTTCTTTGATTTTGTTGACAGAGTTAAAGATTTTTACAAAAGGGATTTTGGATTTCTATTTTTATCTCTCCATAAATTAGAAAATGCTGTCGACAGACAGAAAAAATACATTTTCGCCATGTTTAATAACATGTTAAATATATATCAGGTCAATGATATATGAACAAACCCCTCAGTAAAAATATTCAGAATATAGGTAGGAATAAAACTGTAAGTTTTGGTGTATGTAAGCGATGCTGAAGTGGAGGAAAAACTTTTACTAAGTATCTATCATTTTGACGATAGTGGTCCTGACAGAACTGTAAGTTTTGGTGTATGTAAGCGATGCTGAAGTGGAGGAAAAACTTTTTAAATATGTTTTGTAATTGAAATCTACAGATGCAATGGATGTTGTATTTCCACTAGTCTGAACATTGGTTCAAAGTTCTTCTTTGATTTTGTTGACAGAGTTAAAGATTTTTACAAAAGGGATTTTGGATTTCTATTTTTATCTCTCCATAAATTAGAAAATGCTGTCGACAGACAGAAAAAATAAATTTTTGCCATGTTTAATAACATGTTAAATATATATCAGGTCAATGATATATGAACAAACCCCTCAGTAAAAATATTCAGAATATAGGTAGGAATAAAACTGTAAGTTTTGGTGTATGTAAGCGATGCTGAAGTGGAGGAAAAACTTTTAAAATATGTTTTGTAATTGAAATCTACAGATGCAAGTGCATTAAAACAAATGCCTAAATGTGTATTTTTGATGTTTTATTTCCACCAGTCTGAACATTGGTTCAAAGTTCTTCTTTGATTTTGTTGACAGAGTTAAAGATTTTTACAAAAGGGATTTTGGATTTCTCTTTTTATCACAGAAAATACTGTCAACAGACATAAAAATATACATTTTAATGTTTAATAAAATGTTAAATATATATCAGGTAAATGATATATGAACAAACCCCTCAGTAAAAATCTTCAGAATATAGGTAGGAATAAAACTGTAAGTTTTGGTGTATGCAAGTGCTGCTGAAGTGTGGGAAAAACCTTTTAAAGATATGTATTGTCACTGAAATCTATAAACGCAAACAGGTAACGTGTCATAAAATAAACACTTACAGTGAATGTGTATTTTGGATGTTTTCTTTCCACTAGTCTGAAAGACGACATGTTATGGAAACAAAATTGACCAGTGCAAAAAAAAAATTTGCCTATAGTATTTTGCCTTTTCCTGTGGTGTCCACTAAGTTCAGCAGAGTTTAGTTAAAAAGGCCGTTTGCAGCTGTAATATGTGAAACGCTTTTATAGATGTACAAACCCGATTCCAAAAAAGTTGGGACACTGTACAAATTGTGAATAAAAACAGAATGCAATGTGGAAGTTTCAAATTTTAATATTTTATTCAGAATACAACATAGATGACATATCAAATGTTTAAACTGAGAAAATGTATCATTTTAAGGGAAAAATAAGTTGATTTTAAATTTCATGGCATCAACACATCTCAAAAAAGTTGGGACAAGGCCATGTTTACCACTGTGTGGCATCCCCTCTTCTTTTTATAACAGTCTGCAAACGTCTGGGGACTGAGACAAGTTGCTCAAGTTTAGGAAGAGGAATGTTGTCCCATTCTTGTCTAATACAGGCTTCTAGTTGCTCAACTGTCTTAAGTCTTCTTTGTCACATCTTCCTCTTTATGATGCGCCAAATGTTTTCTATGGGTGAAAGATCTGGACTGCAGGCTGGCCATTTCAGTCCCGGATCCCTCTTCTACGCAGCCATGATGTTGTAACTGATGCAGTATGTGGTTTGGCATTGTCATGTTGGAAAATGCGAGGTCTTCCCTGAAAGAGACGACGTCTGGATATATGTACATTTAACTTTTCCGGCCTCTTATTGCTACCTGTCCCAACTTTTTTGGAATGTGTAGCTCTCATGAAATCCAAAATGATCCAATATTTGGCATGACATTTCAAATGTCTCACTTTCAACATTTGATATGTTATCTATATTCTATTGTGAATAAAATATAAGTTTATGAGATTTGTAAATTATTCCATTCCTTTTTTACTCACAATTTGCAACATTAACATGCACATATGGTTCCTTCAGCGCTCCACTAGACTTTAAATGGTGCGTAATGTGTGAAATGGTATGATTAGAGATTGAAGTGTTTTTTTTCCTCATGCAGATTCGATGGACCAAGACAGCAGGAAGTGTTTCGGACCGATTCCAGGACTCCAGCGTGTTCAATGAAACCCTCAATATCGCGAAGATCCACAGACATCAGGGTGGACGCTATTACTGCAAAGCCGAGAACGGACTGGGTTCACCAGCCATCAAGTCCATCAGGGTGGACGTCTACTGTGAGTTCAGCTCAGATGTTTGGTCTAAATGTCCTGTGGAGAAATAATAACACTGCAAATGAGTCACTAGTCGTAATCCAGCAAATTAATGTGAAGCAGTTCAGATCATTTGATAAGAAATGTTTGAGTTCATATTGAGATCTGACTTTTGATTTGCAGCACAGTTTGAGAAATGTGAGATTGCTGGGGGGTTTTTTTGTGGGAGAAACATTTGAGAAGCAGGTTAATCTCGATCCAGTTTAGGATCAACAGCTGAGATGTTACAGAGATCTCACTGGTGATTACTCTTTTCTGTGAGTGGTTTCTTTGTTTGGATTGTTGGTGAATCACAGTCAGTGTGAACAGTGTTTTTTTTGGGGGGGGGGGTTTATGTAGACTGCATGAACTCTTTCTTAGCAGAAAGAATAAAATCGAATGCAAATGAAGGTTATTTTCAATGGAAGTCCATTTCTTCCATATTATTTAAAAAATAAATAAATAAATGAAAGTAATTGTGACATTTCATCTCACAGTTCTGATTTTTTTCTTTCAATTCTCACTACAAAAAAGTCATAAATAAACAAGTGAATAAACTCAGAATTGAGAAAAGATATTGCAAGCGTTTCTGAGTATGCATCTCACAATTCTGACTTTTTTTTCCTCACAATTCTGACTTTACATATCGCAAAAAAAAAAATTTTTTTAAACGAAAGTAATTGCGACTTCTTATCTCACAATTCGGACTTATTATCTGGCAATTTTATATCTCACAATTCAGACTTTTCTTATCAGAATTGCGAGTTTATATCTTGCCGTTTTGAGTTTATACAGTATATCGTAATTCTGAATTTATATCTTGCAATTCTTAGTTTCACAATTTAGACCTTTTTTTCTTAGAATTTCGGGAAAAAGGTGAATTGTTAGATAAAGTCGCAATCACCTTTATTTTTTTAAACAAGTTTCTATAACTTCCAGCTACAGAAAGTGCATTAGATCTGAGCAGTTCTTCAAAGTATGAACGTGTAAGAATGCATGAAGTTTAAGGATTATGTGCTTTTGTCCTATTTTTTACAATTGTTGATTTTACATTGTGAGCACAGTGAGATCTTGTGTAGAAGCCAAGTCAGACTATGTGACGTCAGTGGCCTTTTATGTCAGACTTAATGTTGTCCATCTCGTTTAAGATTTTGACAATGATTGACAGCAGTTGAAGCTGAAGTTTCAAAAGAGGGAATTGCATCGTTTTTATCAATAAAGATGATCGAGAGGAGACATTATGACATTACTGAGCAGAGAGAGGAGTACTAGAATAAAAACAAATGACAAATTCAAACCTGTGTTTCCCAAAACACACGTGTCCAACCACCACGCCACAGATCTGAGAATATGTGGAGTTCTTTTAGGAATATTTCTTATGTTCTTTGATGTAGAAACCTTAAAGGCCATGTCCAAATCTTTCTTTACATCTAGAGATAAAGAATTTAAATGCGTAACTAAAATTAACTTGATTTCTCATCAGCATCTATGAGTCAAACACACAAAACCTCTCAAAAACATCATATTTTCCGGTCCTGTTTTTTATGCAAATGTTCTGAAAATTTCATGCAACCCCTCTAAATTCTTATTACTGTAATCAAAAAAAAATTTTAATTGTGAAGTGTTTATACATCATGCTAGTACTTGTTGTACTTAAAATAAATTATGCTGGTACATAAAAAAAACTGTATTGAGATTCTAATGAGAATCACTGTTGAGAATAATGAAAAATAACAAAATGTTAATTTAAATTGTGAAGTGTTTATACAGCATTCTAGTAAAAAAAGTAGAATGCATGAAGTTTAAGGATTATGTGCTTTTGTCCTATTTTTTACAATTGTTGATTTTACATTGTGAGCACAGTGAGATCTTGTGTAGAAGCCAAGTCAGACTATGTGACGTCAGTGGCCTTTTATGTCAGACTTAATGTTGTCCATCTCGTTTAAGATTTTGACAATGATTGACAGCAGTTGAAGCTGAAGTTTCAAAAGAGGGAATTGCATCGTTTTTATCAATAAAGATGATCGAGAGGAGACATTATGACATTACTGAGCAGAGAGAGGAGTACTAGAATAAAAACAAATGACAAATTCAAACCTGTGTTTCCCAAAACACACGTGTCCAACCACCACGCCACAGATCTGAGAATATGTGGAGTTCTTTTAGGAATATTTCTTATGTTCTTTGATGTAGAAACCTTAAAGGCCATGTCCAAATCTTTCTTTACATCTAGAGATAAAGAATTTAAATGCGTAACTAAAATTAACTTGATTTCTCATCAGCATCTATGAGTCAAACACACAAAACCTCTCAAAAACATCATATTTTCCGGTCCTGTTTTTTATGCAAATGTTCTGAAAATTTCATGCAACCCCTCTAAATTCTTATTACTGTAATCAAAAAAAAATTTTAATTGTGAAGTGTTTATACATCATGCTAGTACTTGTTGTACTTAAAATAAATTATGCTGGTACATAAAAAAAACTGTATTGAGATTCTAATGAGAATCACTGTTGAGAATAATGAAAAATAACAAAATGTTAATTTAAATTGTGAAGTGTTTATACAGCATTCTAGTAAAAAAAGTATTATATGAAGTATTGAATGAATGAGATTCTAATGAGAATCACTGTCGAGAATAATGAGTCAGGAAAACAATTAAAAATAAATCAACCGATTACAAATTATAATAATGAGCGTTAGGGCAGAAATGTGTTGAATTGTCATGAAAATAATGTTGCAATGCAGAAAATGTGAATGGTCCTACAGTAAGCTTCATATACTTTATGCAAAATAAAATTTAGATTTTGGGGTGATTCTGACATGTTAACGAGGGTCAAACGAGCATTCCAGCATCTCTTCTGTAGTGATCCAGAACATCAACCCGAACCCAACAGATCCTCAGAATCGTACAGGAGCGTTTGATCAGCTCGGTGTTTCCGTAACGCTGCCGCTTTGTCTTCAGTCACTGCCGGATCAATTTCACAGATCCAGGTAGAAGCAGGAGAGGTGTGGAGGATTGTGTTTCAGCTTTGAACTGCAGCCGCTGTGAGGAGAGAGGATTTCCACGAGCTGTTTGATAGAGCGGCCAAAACTCTCAGCCTCTCTTGACATGAGCTTCAGATGTGAGACCTGAACCACATCCAGATCCTCCGCAGTAATAGAGGAACTGCTCTGGGCACAGGTGGACCGCAAGACCATAACCGTTACTAGTTATTTATTTAGCTGTAAATTCACAGAACATACACTACTCTTTAAAATTTTGGAATACATATTTTGAAGTTTCTCCTTTCACAAAGGCTGCATTTATTTGATCAAAATACAGTACAAAATTGTGAAATATTATTATAATTTAAATCAGCTGTTTTCTGTGTGAATATCTGTTAAACTGTAATTTATTTCTGTGATCAAAGCTGTATTTTCAGCATCATTACTCCAGTCTTCAGTGAAATCATTCTAATATGCTGATTTGCTGCTCAAGAAACATTTCTGATTATTATCAATGTTGAATACAGTTGTGCTGCACAATATCTTTGTGGAAACCGCGATACACTACTTTAAAAAAAAAGAAATTAATGTTTTTATTCATCAAGGATGCATTAAATTGATCAAAAGTGACAGTAAGGACATTTATAATGTTACAAACGATTTCTATTTCAAATAAATGCTGTTCTTTTGAACTTTCTGTTCATCTGTGAATCCTGAAAAATAAAATGTATTCAACATTGATAATAATCAGAAATGTTTCTTGAGCAGCAAATCAGCATATTAGAATTATTATATATATTATAAAATATCATTATAATATTATATAATATATTATTTATGCATTTATTTGAACATTGGATAAAACTGATTAAAATTATTGTTTGATTTTGTTAAAGTATTATTAGCGTCAAAGGTGTTACAGTTTTCTCTTCGGATTTCTCTTTTTATCATTATTTATTTTTTCATCATATTTAATAAAAATGACAAAATTGCTTAAAATGTAAAAATACATTTAAAATATAAATTAAAATTAATATGAAATTACAAACAAATTTATAAAATTAAAATATTAAAAATATTAAAAAAATAAAATATCAAGTTCATGTCATGTCAACCAAAAATATCACAGTACATCATACTAAAATAATACTAATAACCTTCTGGTCACCAGGTCAGATCTTTGGATTTGACATGAAATCAGAATTGATTTTCTGCTTGGTAAATGCGTGAAATGTGATGGGATAGTAGTTGTGAGACTGTAGTTTAGTGCGTGTTTGAGGCAGATGTAAATCAGTCTGTATATATGCTGTTTCAGGAATGTGAGATGTAAAGTGAATGTGGAGTCTGAATGTCACTGGTTCCTTGGCTGCTGCTTTAAACATGTGCCCTTTCCTCCTGTTTTTCATTAGCTGGAGAATTGCGCTGAAAGGTGCCGTTCCTCTGGAGAAATGCTAAAGTTGTCCCCGCGGGCCGAGCGTAATTGATGGTTCGCTGCCAGCGCCGCTATTATTAGCCCACTGTAGCCTTGATTGTTATTTAGCATTGAAATTGCTGCTTCGGACGTCGAGCCTCTGAAAAACCTTCAGCGAAACATGAAAAATTGTGCCGGGCCGCTTTGGCCTTTGTCAGTGCGTCACGCGGCCCGTCGGCGGGATGGACAGTTCCATTACAGCAGAGGTTTGCTGAAGAGAAATGCTGGAGATTAAAGCGAGAGAAACGACTCGAGAGGCTGACAGAGAAAACCATCACAAACGACTCCTAGAGAGTTTTCAACTTTGCTTTATTTATTTATTTTATTTTATTTTATTTTTTTATTATATATATATTTTTTAATGATTTATTAATTATGATTATAATATATATATACATACAATTATAGTCATAATTTCTCTTTAAGTGTATTCATATTTACAGTCTGTTTTTGTTTTTGTTATTAATCAGTGTCACTCATTTGCATTAGATTTAATTACTTCAAAATGTTTCCATTCCTTCAAAAT